TTTTCAGCATATATGCAACACTGTAAACACAATATAAGAAAAACAGATAGGCCAATTGTCATTAAACTCACAGGAGTGGTCAATCCTGCTAAAACGCAGGTTAAGTTCAAAAATCAGCATAATCGGGCCATTATTTTAGAAGTTATGCTGTTTTTTACATTTCCTTAGATTCAATTCTTAGGCATGTTAACAGTTTCATTATTTAATTAATAAGATATGTAAAAGTGTTTTTTTGACATTTCCTGCATCTTTACAACATTGTTAGTTGATTTTGTAAAAATGATGTTAAACTTGTTATTGTGTATTGTGTAATAAAGTTTCAAAAATGGAAATAAACTCACATAATTGCAGTTTGTCAGATTGAATCATTCACTATGTTCAGAATCTCAGAATGGAAGAAATTGGACATTTAACACTATTCTATTGATATTTTTCCCATCTCATCAATTTTCTTAGTTGATCATATAAAAATGGCAGTAAACTGTTAATTTTGTTTTATGTTAAAAATTGTTAAAAATGGAAATTAACCCATTTCAGAACAGTGCTGTCTTGTTATTTTCTGTTTTTGTCTGTACATTTGACAGCTTTGCTGCCTTGTTATATAATGAAATGTATAATTATTATTATTATAAAAATTGTAGCAAGCAGATGAGGCGAGCTACCTGACGGATCTGCTCCAGGAGAAGGAGTCCAGTATAGAGCAGATGTCGCTCCAGATCGAGGGTCTACAGGGAGAGCTGGAGAACCTGACTGATTTCCAGGTAATTCAGCACCACAGAGGTGACCTCTTGTGGTGTTTTTCTGAACTATAGACTGCAGGCACAGAGCCAGTGATTTGAAAAGGGGGGGGGGGGTGTTTTCTGAAAAAGTGGTCTTAACTACACAACCTTTGTGTACATTGATCAAATTTTTATTTGGGGTGATGCTTTTTCAAGCAAAAAAAAAAAAGGTGGTGGATTTGAACCCCCATATCCCCCCCCTTTGGTGTTAACTTTTAGAGCAAATTTTTCTCACTTTTCCCCCCAAGATAAATTGTTAGTAGTTTACATATTGCATATTTTGAATAAAGAGAAAGAAAAGGCTTATGTCTTGGGCCAATAGATTCTTTATTTTAGAATTAGCGAACATTTGACATCAACCAAAAGTAAAGTTGAATGCTAATATGATTCATAGTTTTTGGGAATTTGTTACATATTCACTACATATTGGATAATTGTCAAAGAACACTTCATCTTTGATGTTTAATGTAGAATGTAAATATTTAGTTTTGAAAATAATAAATTGAAATGCAATTATCGAACCTGATGTCACTCTCTTCTTGCATTTCAGAGCAAACTGCAGGAAGACTACGACACCGTTCAGACAATGTTGGAGGAGAAGCAGAAAGAGATCGAAAACCTCAGCAAAGAACTGGAGGAAGCAAGACCCATGGGAGCCACGCCTGAACTGCAGGTAGAGCAATGTGCATGGCCCTATAGTGTGAGTTCTCCCAGTGCTGGATCACATGACCAGACCTGTTTCCTGTTGTGGGGAATTCTGGGAGTTGTTTTTGCCCTAGGATTCACTGTGTCAGGACTTTGACACCACTCCATATAGTTTAGTGTCATATTGAAATTTTGGCCTCACAACCTGGACATTTTTTTAAATAAATGATGAAATCAAGGGAAAGTTGGGCTAGCTTTATCTTATGTTGATAAAGACCTTTCAGTTTTGAACATTGAAATATTTTGTTTGAATGAACTCTACAATTCTGGATTTCTTCATATTAATTTTGATTCTTTATCTAAAACTTTCGATTCCCTTGTTATGTAAGACAAAGTTACCATGCACTATATACTCTTATTTATGTATCAATATTTTGAGAGGAGAGGGAAAAAAGGACAAATAACTTAGCCACATGAAAGTTAGATAGTTATAGGCCTAAATTAATTGACTGTAGAAACTCACTATGAAAGTGCATTCCTGGTAAAAAATGCATGTGGCAAGGATTTTATTGAGGAGTGAAGTTTCTTGTGAAAAAGTATCCATATTTATTGTTTATTTTAGTATTTATTATCTCAAAATAAACCACTATTTATCATTTTTACTGTTGCCTCATCGTCAAAGTATTGTCGCAAGAACTTTACCAGCTGAAGGAGACTTTACAAATATAAAATACTGCACAAAGCGGATTTCTTATTTCATATTCTGATTTCTGATTTCAAATTATTTATTTTTGTGTGTCAAATGATTAAATAGAGATTGAATCTTAAAGCATTTTCAAGAAATTTGCCCAGTGTGTGCACTTATTATTTATTTATTTATTTATTTATTTATTTATTTATTTATTTATTTATTTAATCGATTAATGATATATTCTACTTATTTATTGCTAACTGTTTAATGCTATATGTGTCTGTCCTGGTAGCGGGTACAAATCCAACTCTACATGTTTTATTCTCTCTCTTTTCTCCTGGGGTAGCTGCAGTATGAACAGCACATTATTGTCTTGGAGAAAGAATTGAAAGAAAGACAAAATATAATAGATGAGAGAGAGGAAGAGCTGTATGTGTTGAATGAGCAATTAGAGGAGAAGGTAAAACGTAGTGCAGTTTGTCCTGTTGAAACTAACAGTGCTGTGCGATGTCTAACATAGTGCTGTTTCCCAGCATGCAGTTGTGATTATTCAGGGGCCGATTTAGACAATCCTCTCGTTTTTCTGAGAAAAGACAGTCAGAATTATCTTCAGAATCATTTTTATGTACAGACACATCATTTATAAAATTATGTCAAATTTGGTGTTGATTTTGATGTTAAACATTAAGTAATATTGCATCAAAAATGACAAAATAGCCTATTTTCTGCATCATTATTTTCTGCATTCTTTCTGTACATTTGACAGCTTTGCTGTCTTTTTATAATTTATGTCTAGTCAAATTTGACAAAGGATATAAATTGAACACCCTGAGTTTCAGAGTCTTATGGTCACTTGCCTTTGTAATCAGCATTCTACAGCATTCCCATTATAGCTGTAATGTATGCTGGATAGAGTCAAGTTTCTGTCAGTATTCTGAACCTCAGGGTGATATTGTAAAACTGTCAGTGAGAAGTGAGAACTGTTGGCTCATATGGCTGGATCTGTCCCTGTTTTAGCTAGCTTGTCGCTTAGCTGAAGAACTGATGTCCACCAATTGTTGATGGCTTTTGCTTCATGTGGCCTGCATGATATGATATGATTTGCTGTGTTATAGTAATATCCCTTTATGTTTTTCCTCATAGCTGTACTACCCATTGGAGGCCATTTTGAAAAAAAAAAAAAAAAAAACATGCTTGAGCTTTGAGCTGATAGTGATTTTGATTTTGGATTTTTATAATTGTAAGTTTTTTCCGTACAGTTACTTATAAGTGTGCCATGAAGAAATTATCTGTGCACGTGTAAAAGGGGGCCCCTTATGTCTCACTGTGTCTCCTGCCTTAAATTCAATTGATAAAGGAATTGATTTCTCATTTGCAGAAATATCTTTTATGAATATTTTACCATTCTCTAGCTGTATGTTCTTCAATTCTTGGTCATGTATCTTTCTTTTTCTCAAAATTTGAACCATATTCCAGCATTGCAGATTTGTGGCTCTTTAATTTGAAATGGTCGAGTTAAACAAATTTAGGAGATACACTATCATGTTGCTGTAAATTAGTGACAGAATCAGCTATAAACGCAGATTTTTGGAATTCAAAAATTTAAACAAACCATGAGATATTTTTGAGTTCCTCAAACTGGTCTTTTTCAGTTAGTAGAAAGATGGCATGGATACAAAAATGTGTAATGTTTGGTTGTCATGTGTGTTATTTTATCCTTAAGATTCTTTTAATATACATTAATGACCCATTTATATTTTCAGTCAGTTTGTAATCTCATTTTGACAACCTTGTACTTAAAATAGATGTCACTATGCTATCAATGCCAGTATAGCTATCATAAACTGTTTACAGTTTTTGGCTGTGACCATTGTTTGTGGTTATAGACCAAGGCTTTCATTAGTGTTTACAGTTATGGACTGAGGCTTTAATTGGTGTTTATGGTTATGGTCTAAGGCTTTGATAACAAAGTTTCCACGGGTGTGGTTCATGTCTCTAACTAGTGTTTATGGTTATGGTCCAAGGCTTTAATTAGTGTTTGGGGATGTGGTCTTTGGATTTAATAAATGTTTACAGCAGTGGTTTTTGGATGTATTCAATGTTTAGGGTTGTAGTCGTAAGTTGTGTCTTGTTGATCTGTATCACTATGGTTGGCAGCTGTGGTGTTTATGTGGCATCACTCAGGGGCAGATCAAAACCGTCTTCTGGGTCTTCCAGAAGACAGTCAAATTTTCAGGTTTACATTGACAAGTATCTAATTTTTTCTGTCGGAAGATGGTCAAAAATGGAGGATAGATCAACAAAGATAATTTGGAAGACTGTGAGAATATATCTCTGGATCCGCCCCTGTCACTGTAGTGGTAAAAACTGTTATGTTATTACTGTTATGGTAATTTTTCAATGTATCCAATCTGAATTTCTTTTATTTCTCAAAAGAACATTTTAAACAATATTACAGAAAAATGATTCTTAAACTCCATAAAGTTAGTTGGGCATATGTCAGAAAACCCGTTTTCTCAGTGTTGAAAAAGAGGGATAAGGGGTTTAAAAATTGGAAAAAAGGGTATATATCAGAAAACCTGTTTTCTCCATATTGAAATTAGGGATAAAGGATTTGAAAATTTGAAATAGTTTGGTGTTTGAAACTTGAGAGAATTACCGTACTGGTGGTTATTATACTAATACATGAAGTGGTTGGTGGTTAAGTGTGTGCTTGGTGTCACATTGTGAAGTGAAGTATAAGTATCAGTGTTATGGTGTGTTCACATCAAGACTTGCTTAACCTTGGAAGATACTAACTGACTAATACAGAGTACAAGTTGCAACATTTCTGAGCTTGGATAGAACACAACTTGTGAGTTTTTGGTATAGGAGATGGTATAGAGTTGTGTACATCACTTTCCGTTTTCAACTTAAGTGAATGGAAATTTGAAGCCACTACCAACAAGCCTGAAACTGAAGGGTTTTTAAAGAGTAACCAATGGTGTCGGGATTTAGCAAACATATATATGGCTGATAGTGGTTCGTTACTAGTGATTTTTGTAGTGTTTGGTTTATAGGGGCTTTTGAAGGAGAGAGTTGGCCTTTGACAAGGGAATTTGGGAGACATAGGGAAATTTGGAGGGGGGGGAGAGAAAGCAATCTATCCAGCCACCCTTTCACCCACAATTTTAACATTACAAAATAGGACTAGATATGCACACATGCTTCAGAATAGAAAAAAATCTCCTCTAGCTCTTATTCCCATCTCTGTCCCTCCTCTCCCTCTCTCTCTCCCTCCCTCTCTCTCTCTCTCTCCATTTCTCTCACTCTCTCTCTCTCCCTCCCACTCTCCATTTCTCTCCCTCTCTCCCTCTCTTTCTTTCTCTCTCCATTTCTCTCCCTCTCTCTCTCTCTCCCTCCCACTCTCCATTTCTCTCTCTCTCTCTCTCTCTCTCTCTCTCTCTCTCTCTCTCTCT